TGATAGCTAATATAATTGTACTACTGATTTGTATTCTTTTATTGAAAGGAACAGTTAATGCCTAATTACTTGATGCTCTTGCATATTTATATCTTGTCATCTGAACAACTACTTCAAAGATAACAATATACAATATAACAATTATTGTTAATTACATATATCTTTATTTGAAATTGTGTTGTTTTTATTTTTATTCTCTTTAAAATAAAAATAAATGTGAAATATAAAAAATAATAGTACAATAATACATAAAGTAAGAAAGAAGACAGAATCTCTTTTAATTTTCACACCAACTCAGCTTTAACTTAGAACCAAAGCCACTCAGCCTGCAATCAGAAGGTGTGGAACTCTGCTCTGAAGAGGTTTCCTGAGATTCAAGAATTCTCTTCTCTGCTACAGACTCTTGTTCTGGTTATTTCTAAAGCTGGTATTGTAGAAATGATTTGTTTTCACTGTTATTTACTACTACCAATATACAACAAGCTCAGGTCCTATTCTTTAATGAAGACATTATTTAATGAAGAATATAGTCCAAGATTCTGGGGAGAAAAAAAAGCATAAACTATATTATTTCTAGTGCATGCCCAACTTTAGAAAGAATGAGAAGGGTGGTGAATGGGGAAACATAGAAAGTTCACATCTTAAGAAATACGATTATAAAAATAAAGACACCATTTGCTAAAAATTGAAGCACTGTGGAAGTGTTTCCCACACATTTCATCAGATTTCACCTGCGATGCTGTCAGTGAAGTGGAAACCACAGACAACATCATAGACTATGCTGTTCCAGGACAAGAGGCAAGTCATGGTGATTCTACAGTTAGTGTGAGTCACACAGGCGATAAATGCCCCCTGAGGCATGTAAGCTGCAGCAATAAGACACAGGACTGTTGGGGACTGTCTTGGTCTGTCCTCATACAGCAGCTTGGAACAATTGCTAAATTTTCTATAATACTTTTTTAACCCTCTCTATAAATTTTTCTACTACAGTTCCCACATAGAAACTAATTAATTTGTTTTTTATCAGATTCTCAATCTCCAAATGAAAGTAGATTGAAAAAATATGAGAACAGCCAACAATAACAGAAAGCCATCTTCGTGGCCAAGCTGCCCATTAACTGAAAGATGTCATACCTTTGTCTTCTAAATAACTGCTACTAAAATATATTAGTATATTCTTTTAAAAGTATGCAAGGCTTTTACTGAAAACTATTTTATTCTTCTCATTTAAATTAAACATCAAGCCTTGTTTCTTTTCCCTGTCATCTCTGTGAATGAAGTCTACACTGGCTTTGAAGGAATCTAGTTGTTTCTGAAGCTCAGTGTGTGACAGGCAGAAATTGACAGCAAGGAAGTTAAGTGGCAGTACTTCTGGCTATTCTCTGCCCCAGCACTTTCAGAGAAATTGAATTTTAGGCAAAATATCCAGTGCAAGCAATATGAAAGGTAAAATGAATCAGTGAAAATATCTAAGAATATTATGTTCGAAAAATAGCCATTTTCAAGCCATTTGGAGTCTGAGACTTAGATTTGTGCCTCAATTTCCTGATATTAAATATATGTATAAATATAAAATATGGAAAATACTTACATTTTCAAAGAAATTTATGTCTTAAACAAAGGGTTTTTCTTTTAAAACTTAACAGTAAAAACTATAGAAAGTTATGTTAGAAAATTATGCAGCTCACTTTTCTCTGGGGTTTGCCAGATAATATAGATCATATTTCTGGAGAATGGGACCTCCTTTATGTTTTCCATGATATTTGATTATGCTACTTTGGGATGTTCATGTGACAAATGGGAACAATATTATGGTAAATTATAGAAGAATAAACACAGTCGAAATATTTCTTATGCAGGGAGACCCAGGAAAGGTCAGGTGGAAAGAAGTCACAACTGGAGTGATTCTGGAGAAGAAAAGACAGAAGTTGAAGAGGCACAGGTGGAGGAGGACCCATATACCTTTGCTGAGATTGAAGACAGTGAATATGACATGATACTGACCAAGATGAGTGTAAAGAGAAAACCTGGCAACTGGTCTTTCATTATAAACAGACCTCCTGCCCCAGCTCCCCGACCCACCAATGTCCTTCCCAAGGAGGAAACTGTGCCTTACATTGCTCAAGGTAATGAGTTGTTTTGTTGATGGATTCACCTTTTGTCCTGTGCATGAGAGGGTGAAGGTTGGGTGCCTTATTTGCTTGGGCTTGGTTTTGTAGTTGGTGTTTTTTGGGCAGTCCTTCTGTGGGAGTGATAAGCACATAAGATGGTACGATTGATATTCCAAAGCTACAAAGATTGAGAGGATATTTTCAAGTCACAGGTGAGTTATAATGGCTCATTTTTTATAATTTAGAAGTATGATGAACAAAAATATAAAAATTATGGATTAGGTCCTGTTTTCTAATTCCTCAGTAAGAAGGATGATATTGAAAAATCCATGAACTAATAGTATAAACAGATAACTTCATTCATAAACCTACAAGAGGGACACTGACTTCCTACAGTGTATCACAAAGAATATTGGAGTACGCACCATAAATCCACCTATAACACACATAAACCCTCATCTGCATCATTATTTTTTTAAAAATCTATTACTGAAGCAAAATATATTGAGACACTTATATAAGAAAACAACACAGTTATTTACCAATACATGACATACTTATTTAATAGTGATTGCTGATAATGGCCAAGAAACTGTAACAAATTAGAGAATGTATGAAGTCAATAAATATTTCAGCAAAAACAGAATGTGAGCTGGAACAATTACACAGATTATGAAACTTCAAATAGAAATCTCAGGTCTCTAGCACAGAGGCCTCCAGGATATTGCTATCTCATTGGTAAAATTACTAACTACCAACAAACATTTTGGAGAGGAGGAAAATTGAATGTTACTGGACACAATCACTCAGTTATAGCCTAAAGACCTCTGAAGAGGCTCATGGTCTCCCATGCTGTGGTCCTTGGGGAGGTGCCCAAGACATGCCCACAGAATGTGGCTTGCTGTGTGGCTCTCCACCTTGCCATTGGCTGTCATATTCTTGTTCTCCAAAATGTTTTTCTTATTCTTTCCCTTTTTTACAGCATCTTTTCTCTTATTAGGGTATGTGTAAGTGGTGTGGAGGGGACTATAATTCAATATATTTGCTATTGATTTCCTTCATTTTGTTTTGGGTTTATATATTTCTTTTGTTTAAATTTTTATTTTTCTTCTACTCTCGTACTGTCTCCATTTTGATTATTGTTGTCTGTTTTTCTACAACAAACAACACTTCTGTACCACATGGCTGTCCTTGGTTACCCTTTGTTATGTAAGACAGAAGCTCCAGGGGCTGAGGAGATGGCTCAGTAGAATAAGTGCTTGCCTGGCAAGTGCAAGGGCCTGAGTTCAATCCCTGGCTCTGAAAAAAAAAAAAAGACAGAAGCTCCAAGGTCCTGAATAGCAATGCTGCCTGCTGGAAGGAACATGGGCTAACTGCCATGTGATGGGGGTAAGCAGCCCCTCAACTGAGTGATGCTTAGATAGCTGCGTCCTCCAGTGCTGCTCATTGTTTCGGAATACAATCCAGCCAACTCCAGGCTTCACTTACCTGCCAATTTCTAAGGTCAGAGTGTAGGAAGAAGACTGGGACAGTTCTGTATTTAAAGGAACAACTGAAATTTTCTCACTACTTCCAGTCCAGTGTATAACTCCTGCCTTTGGTCCCATTTCCCATACCTTCCATTCTGTTTCTATAGTGAATAACTTCCAATCTCATTGCACAAGATTATAGAAGGAATTTAAGATTATAGCTGCTTTAGCCTGTTTGCCAATCCCCATGTTAAATAAGTAATTCTGAATAATTCCCCCATGCTCATTTTTTATTAATCATTCAATATAAAGATTTATGGAATACTAATGGTAGATTTTTTCTGTGTATAGATTACATAAGTGATCTATATTGCAGTGGCACTACTTGTTCTATATGTAATGCATGCATCAGAAATTTAAAGAATCTTAAAAATCTGAGCCAGGCATGGCAGTGTGGACTTTCTGTTCTTGGGAGACTGACCACTTGGGAGACTGAGGCAGGAGGATCATGAGTTTAAGGCCAGCCTGGGCTTCACACTTGTCTGAAAAAAATATATAAAAAATTATAAGATAAAAATAAGAAATTTTAAATGTCACTTACCTCACCTAGCTACCCTATGCCTAGCACCCTTCAAAATTTATAAGATGTCTTCCTCACTTCATTAGGCAGTTACTTTGTTTTGATAGCACTTGCTTTGCTTACAGACGGGAGCCAATGTTGTTTTGTTTGTTTTTGTGATTAGGTATGTTAGAGAGATATGGTATTCCCCTAACCACCCAAATCTGTAGCAAAAGTCAGAGTGTGAATGAAGTGACTGCAACCCTCGTCTGGTTTTTCCTGCCTTCTCTCTTTCCATGGAACAGACTTCTTCCCTCTGTTTTTTACAGCATTGACTGCTGTGCCACACTAGAAAGAGGTAGCCTCATCAGCTCATTATTTCTTAATGATTTTTTGCATTGCACACAGTAAAAGTCTTCACCATATCTGTCCCCTCCCACCCAGCCCAGGCAGCCCTATTAAAGAGAATTACCACCATTTCCCAAAGTGCTAACCATTTAAAAGAATACTCATTTGCTCTAATTTTTGCTGGAGCACAGAAGCAGTAGCAGAATTTGGCAACATCTGTGGTTGTAACAGAACCAAAAGAGCAAAATGTGGAGAAGGTGATGGAAAAAGATGCAGGATGCAGAATCCCAATTCCCCCTGCAGGAAGCTGAGAAAGTAGTGCCAAGAACCTGGCAAGTGGAGAGCCAGGGATGGAGAAAGAGAGCCAGAGGGAGAGGGAGATGGAGAGCCTGAGACAGAAAAAGAGGGAAAGGAAGAGAGAG